TTTTTTGTCTTTTTGAGACAGGGTCTCACTATGCAGTTCAGGTTGGCCTTGAGCACACTTTGTAGCCCAGGCTGGTCTTGAACTCACAACGATTGTCTAGATAAATAAGCCCAAGTGGTTTTTACTGAATCCCATTCACAGGGCTAGATGGCTCTAACAAATTTCAGAGCTACATTTTGGATGATCTAATTTAAAATACACAGGCTAAGTGGCATAAAGACAGCTTCTTTGGAGGCCCTCAGAAACATCTGAGTTCTCCTCCAGCTGCTGTAACTGTAACTTACTGTAAGTATAACTTTCTGTAACTGTTTCTCCAGCTGTTGTGAGGTTCCAGAGGCCAAACTTAGCAGGGCCACAGAGCAACAGTGGCTTCCTGTGTGATCACCCAAGTGAAAGCCCTGCCAATGGCGGCCACTGAGCTGACACCTTGCAGAATGACAAGGGCTGCTCTGTGCAGCAGGCGTCGGTGACTCACCTCTGCACCACTGGTAGGGATGTCTCTAAAATGAGCTACAGTTCTAAATACATCCCTGGAGTAAAAAGAAACTAGTACAAGTAAGGGATGAGATCCTAAAAGACTCGAAGAACCTGCTCTGCACCCAGAGCAGCGCACAGGAAAGCTGCACCAAAGCTCGGATGAGCGGAGGGCAGGCAGACATGTCTCTGGAGCTGCCCACAGGTCCCAGGTGAGGACTTGGTAAGACCTGTCAGACTGTGAGATGTAACTGAGAGCAGACACTGTGGCTAGGACAGGGCCAGGTGGGGAGGAAATGCTTCTTTCTGAAATTCTCTCAAGATCTGTGATTCCAAAACCTTTCTACTTCCTGGGCTTTAAATCACTCCAGTGATATTTTTGAGCAGGATGGAGTATCTCTGGGTCTGCCATTGGATTGTCTATCATTTGTCTCAAACTCAGCAGGTTCGCCAGGCGTGGTGGTATACTGCCAGTAATCCAAGCACCCAGGAGGCTGAGGCAGAAGGATTGCTGTGAGTTTAAGACCAGCCTGTGCTACAAAGTGAGTTCAAGGCCATCCTAAACTGCATAGGGAAACTGTCTCAAAAAGACAAAAAAAACAAAACAAACCCTCAGCAAGTTCACTACCAGCCTGATTTCACCCTGCTCCCAATCCACTCTTCCTCTTCTTTCTCTTCCTTACAACTCTGCTACAGCAAAAACCTATGTTGTACAGCCTCTCTTCCCCAAATGCCCTTCAGAATATATCCCAAATCTGCCGGACATGGTGGTGCACGCCTGTAATCCCAGCACTCAGGAGGCTGAAGCAGGATGGCAGCAAGTTCAAGACTGGACTGCATAGGGAGACCTTGTCTCTCCCCCCACTCCAAAAAAAAAAAATCTGTATCTCCCAAATCTGACCGTTTCTTACTGCCTCCACACTACCTGCACTCAGCCACACCCCAGCATCAACCCAGAAGCTGCAAGAACTCAACAGCTTCCCACCTAATTGTCCCCTCTGCCCATGCTTCCTGGTCTGTATTTTCCATAAAGCAGTGTAAAATCTCTTTGAAAAATATAATCAGATTGCCTCAGACCTCTGCTCAGTATCACTCAGTGACTTCAAATCCTACCCTAAGCTAAACCCATATTCCTTACTGAGCTGTGCTGCTTCACCCGGCTCTTGTTGATCTCTTCAGTGTTATTACGTATTATCCTTCCTCTCATGGCATTCCAACCCCTTTATCGCTCTAACAATGAGGTCTCCATCAACAAGGTGGCTACTCAGAGCCTGAAACATGGGTAGTCCAAATTGAGATGCGGTGTCATACGTGCATAGGATCTCAAAGACTTGGCAAAATAAAGTAAATGTCTCATTAAAAAAAAAAAAACCTTAAGGGCTGGGGATGTAACTCAGTGGAGCTCACCTTCCTAGCATGTGTGGTGCCCCGTGTTTAATCCCCAGCAACCAGACACACAGGCATGCACATGTACACACATACAAATTGCTTATATGTTGAAATTATATTGGGTTACTGAATGCAAAGGTGACCATTGGAGATCGGTCTGCCCTCTGAAGCAGAGGCCCAGAGCTCAGACCCATCCTACCAGGTAGTCCAACAGGAATGAGAGGGCTTGGGGCATACTCTGCCTTCTTCCTCTGGCCAGACCGTCATCTCCATCGAGGAGCCCCAGGTAATCATGACTATGGAGGAACAACAAAACAGCCTGTTGCTAAACACAGGTGTCTCTCGGTCCTTCTTTTCAATCCTGGCCTTCCTTCCAGCCATCATACCTCAGTGAAAGGAGTCACTGGTGAGGAGGTAATACGCTATTTTTCACAACCCTTAGGCTGTAACAACTTGTTAGATCCTTCTTGCGTATCTCTGTCTTCCTGAGAAACCACTTTGAAGATACCACCATGTATTACAGCACCCATTGATATTTCCCTACTAATCTGTCCATAACTCTGTAATGTTTGTATTGTTCCTATGCTATTTCGTAAATGGACGTATGTTTATTACTATGTGTTTCCTACAACAACCATTGAGAATAGTTAATGATTATTCAATTGGTCACTCATGTATAGCTCTATTTATTTTCTTTAGAAGCCACTTTGAAGATACCAAAGTATAGTACAACTATTGGTAATCTCCTACCTCTTTTGTCTGTAACTCACTATTATTTGTCTGTTTTCCTGAGAAACTATCTTGTAGATAACAATACGTAAAACAATAACTGATAATTTCCTAAAAAAAAAAAAGAAATTATATTGGGTTAAATATATTATCAATTTTCTCCTATTTTTCTTTTAAAAAATGTTCCATTAGAAAAGTTGCTACCACGTATGTGGCCTGCATTACTATGCAATCAGATCCCACTGCTCAATACCAGGGGCTGGCACTGTGCAATATCCAGCCTACCGCCTGTCTCGCACGGCCCGTGAGCTCACAATGGTTTTCACACTTAAAATTATTTTTTAAAAAATCAGAAGAATAGCTGTGACACGTCAAATTTTATTGTACATAAATAGAATTTTAGTGGAAGAGAGAGCTTATAACTATTGCTCTCCCTTTGTATAAGCTCTGCAAAGGCACACAATTTTTTGTCATTGTTCAGCAAGTTATTACAAGCACATAGGACAGTACCTGGCACATACTAGGTGCTCTATAAATATTTACCATCATTTAATGTTTTATATCTAGACACTGAGATAGTGTAGGAATCACCTCATTATTTGAAGGACATGAATTACACCATTATAAGCCGCTGTTTACTCTTCTGAGCCAGAAAAGCTAAGATTAGTTCAGGCCCAGAGCAAGCTCCTACCCAGAGATACCAGAATGGGAATGCAGTTCCCTGCTGAACTTGGAGACACAGGTACTGCTGCAAGACAAGAAGAACACAGGATTTATAAACAAAATACTTTATTTTTTAAATTTTTTTTTTTTGTCTTTTTGAGCCAGGGTCTCACTATGCACTTCAGGCTGGCCTTGAGCTCACTTGGTAGCCCAGGCTAACCTCAAACTCGCAATGATTCTCTTGCCTCAGCCTCCCAAGTGCTGGGATTACAGGCATGTGCCACCACACCTGGCTAAAATACTTTATTTTAATAACTTCTGTGATCTGAAAATTTTTTTGGCCTCTCTTAGAAGGGAGAGGTAAAGCTGTCCCAGTTATCAAAAAATTCAAATCTCCTTTTCGTTGGTGGACTGGCTGACAAGCTACTTTCATCCAAGGCATCTCCCAGATCACAGGATCTACTTTCTGAGGTTCCTGAAGTACTTCCTGGGTCAAACGACTCTGCTGCCTCTAGGAGCTCCATGTCGGTTTCATCCTCCTCAAAGGACTTCTGGAATAGGTCATAGATTGTCTGCTGCTTTGGGTCCTTCATTAGAGAAAAAAAAGAAAAGATAAGGACAAACCAAACTCCAGTGCAGACCCTCCTCTACTGTGGCTGGCGAGAGGGCTCTACGGTAAGAGACAGCACATTTTATGCTGTCAGGCAGCTACATGATGACAGGGACAGACCATCTTGGTAAACTACTACTAAAGCAGTCCTGCTTTAGTGTCCAACATCTTGTCTGCTGCTCACTGGGTTAGAAATGAACACAAATGATGTGACAGCAACAAAGCAGTAGCTCTCACACTATAATTCATGTTGGAAATGTTTGCTTCCTTCTAACTTTCCAAATTGGCATTTCAGTGAAGAAACAGCACCTAAAATCTCCAAAGCCTTTCTAAAACAAAGCATTAGTTAAGCTCTAATTTGACTCCTGACTCTGTCAAGCCATGGTCTGTAATTCATTTTCAGAGCAGAAACCGGTACCTGTTTCTAATGACCTCGGAGCTACAAATGACCAAAATGCCCACATACTGCATCTATCCATTGTTGACAATGGTGCTGTGTCAAAACAAAGCACAGTAGCGACAACCATGACAACTGACAGGCTCACCAGAACCTTTCTGCTGATCTCTCCTAAGTCCAAATTCCAACCCTCCTAAAAAAGCTAAAGCCATCATATTACAATAATACATGCATACCCACGTTTATAGTAGCACCAATCACTATAGGTAAACCATGGAAGCAGCCTACATGTCTATCAGCAGATAAATGGATACAGAAAATGTGGCATATAAACATAATTGAGTACTACTCAGCCATAATAAGGACACATTTGAGTGATTTGTAAGAAAATGGATGGACTTGAGACCATATACTAAGGGAAGGAAGCCACAGGTTAACTATCACATGGCTTCTTTAATATGAGAGATATAATTTAAAGAGCAAAGTAAAAGACACATGTTAAAAAGTGGACAGATAGACCCTATAAGCACAGGATCTTACATCTGGTGGACTGAGCAACTTCACTGAAGATAATAGTATGTAGTGTAGCAACCACTGTTAATTCCTATTTTGTTTTGAGGTCATGTATCATTTTTGTTGTTTCTGTGTTGCTTCTGGTTTTGTCTTCATTGTTGTTGTTTTGTTAGTTTTTTTTTCCTCTTTAAAATAAAAAAAAAGATAGGAAAGAGATCCTTAGTAGGAGAGAAAGGAGAGTAGAAAAGGGGTAAGAGGTGTGTATAAAAATAATCAAGATGCAGCCGGGTGTGGTGGCACACGCTTGTAATCCTAGCACTCGGGAGGCTGAGGCAGGAGGATTGTTGTGAGTGTGAGACCAGCCTGGGCTACAAAGTGAGTTCAAGGCCAGCCTGAACTGCATAGTGAGACACTGTCTCAAAAAGACAAAAAAAAAAAAAAAAAAAAAAAGATGCAATGTGTGTATCTATCAATCCCCCAAGTTGAATATAACTACTATGTATATCACAAACATATACTAATAAGTTTTAAAAAAAAATAAATTCCCAGCTTTCACACTTTTATTCCAGAGGTACATCTGCAACATTTCCACAGACACATGATCACCTCAATCCCCTGCCATCTCCCCAAAGCAGTTCTTTTCCAAGGAAGCCTAGTTCTGAACGTTTCCCAACCGTCTCAGTCTGCTTGCCTGAAATCACAATGCATCCTGAATCCTTAGCTGGCCCAAGTGTGTTCTCCCCATTGTTCTCTCCTATCAAATAGCACACGTTAGGCAAGTGCTCTACCACTGAGCTACATGCCCAGGCCCTAACTCACTCTTGCCCTGGGTCAGATCACTTGGTACCAGCCGCGAACTGCAATGGTCCAGCCATTCTTCTACCTCACGCTTCTCCCATTGCCATCGGCCCCCAGGTCTCATTCTATCTGATTTTCTCCCAGACTACCCTTTAACACAATTTCCCTTGTTGTGTCAAGGGACTCTGCTGTGTCTACTTCTAAAATTGCTTCCCTGGCTTTGCAGGGATTCTGTAATTAGGTCTCAATCTAAATGGCCACTACTTGTCACTGTTTCTTAACAGAATCCCCAACATCAGTGAAGTAAAAAAGTTCCTTGAAAACTGACTGGGAGCGTGTCATGCAAGAACTCCAGATTACTCCATTAATCTCCACCTGACATCTCCTGGCCTTTCAGGATCCAAGCCTTTGCCAGTGATATTAAAGATCATTAAGGTCAATCAAAATACAATCCGGACGTCCTCCTGAAGGATACACTCATCAGCCTCTTTCTGAACAAGTGCCAAGTCAAGAAATGCCACTGTGCAAGGCAGCCATTCGAAGGAGAAATACTTCGTCATGTGCATTCAATTATGATGGTGGCCAGGCTATCACCAGACTTGGAGCATGCATAATTAATTGGAGCAAGTTCCAAGATCAGATTAGTATTTCATTTCCCCTCAGAAGTAAGGCTATCTTAGTGAGACGTAACCCTTTTTGCTTTTGTCTCCTGAAAACGAGGCAACATTTTCATTTTCTAGTTAATGAAAATTTTCAGCCCTATCTTAGTAAGAATAAATTGTTACTTATTAATGAAAATATTGATAAATTTCATTTACATTATCTTATACTTTAGGCAGAAATACATAAGTTACTCTGACTGGGACAGCTTTACCTCTCCCTTCTAAGAGGGAAAGGCCAGGATAAGAAAATGAGTTCGAATGACAATTCTTTAGAAATAAGGCTCTTTCTTCTCAAAGGGTATATAAGAACCTAGATTCTATTAGAATATTCACCATTCAGCTGCACTAGAGTTCTTTCAAAGGCTTAAAAATCAGAGTGTTTTAAACTGTCCACAGTGCTATGTGCCTGTTGTCCTAGCACTCTGAGAGGCTGAAGCCGAAGAATAGCAAGTTTGAGCCCAGCCTGGGCAACTTAGTGAGACCCTGTCTCAAAATAAAAAATAGAGAAAAAGCTCAGGGATGTGGCTCAGGACTAAAGCCCCGGTTTCATCCCAGATCCCCTGTTCCACAAAAAGTTATTTTAAACTTGGCTTACTAACTTTTTATCTGAAAGGATATTTATAGTCGAGATTTAAAAAAACTTGCTTGCTCTCCTGTCTCCTCAAAAAAGAAAACAATGAAAGAGACAAAAACAAAACAAAAAAGCAAAACAAAAAAAAAGGAAGAAAAATGTGATCTCTGACTCTTCTTATCCCAGTAATTAAAGCAGGGGAAAAATGACTCAGCTGCTAAGTAAATGTAAATGAACGATGGAATCCTCAGACTCTTGAGTCTTAGCATCACTTAAGGACCTGGCTGATTTAACTCAATTTCTGACGCGCAGCGATTCCATAAGAAGGAAAGCTGCCCTGGTGTCCTAATGAGTCACACTGAGGCTACCTTCCTGCACAAGGCCCAGACTTCCCCCAAACTTTCCGGTTAGGGGCAACTGCCCCAAAAGTCACCCTCCAAACCAGGCATGATGGTGCACGCCTGTAATCCCAGCACTCGGGAGGCTCGTTACAAGTTCGAGAGCAGCCTGGGCTACAAAGTGAGCTCAAGGCCAGCCTGAACTGCATAGTGAGACCCTATCTCAAAAAGGTGACAAAAAAAACAAAAAAAAGTCACCCTCCAGGAGGTAGTACCTCCTGAGCTTTCAACTTCCCTGCCCACCATTGAGCTGGAGAAAGCAGACACAGCTTTGGAAGTCTCAGAGCCCCTTGCTTGACGGGGTCTCATTGAAATGGAGAAGAGGCCATGACAGCAGGTGGGCCAGGGTGTGCAGCCAGGGCAGGCATGGTGGCCCCAGGCTGATCTCTCTCCAGATGCCAACCAACCGCACCTCTGACAAAGCACACCCGCACACAGACGCATGTTCACTGGCCTCTTATGCTACTTGATAATGACCTTTTTATTTTTTTTAAGAGAATAAAAAAAACCCAAAATAACATCAGCATAGATAAAAACAAAACAAAACAAAAACAAAGATGATACAGAGTTTCAGAACAAAATGATAAGAATTAACAGTGTTATCTTCAGTGTGGTTGCTCAGATTACCAGATAGAAGAATGCCTCACACACTTTTTTCTTTCTCCCTCTCCCTCTCCCTCTCCCCTCTACTCTCGCTCTCTCTGCCTCTCTCTCTTGGGCAGAGGCCACAGTGGCCCTACCCTCCCTCCACATACCACCCCCCATGCATGCTAAGGGGACGAGGGGAGGGGAGGGGAGGGGAGGAGAGGCAAGGCTCACGCTGACTGGGTCTGCACTTTCTTTTGGGATAAGGTCTCATTAAGTTGTTCAGGCTGGCCCAAATGTTTGATCCTCCTGCCTCAGCCTCCAAGGAGCTGGGACTATAGGCATGCACTACCACAGTGGGCTTAGTGTTGCCCTATTTTTAATACTCCCCATTCTGTTCCAGGGACAAGTTCCGGGGTAGTACAATAATCCAGCAGTTGCCATGGGCATTTGCCATTGGTTTCTGCGGATCTGAGGGAAGAGGCAGCATTGGGAAGGCCGGTTTCTGAGACTACGGGCCATGTGAGCAGCAGGACTGTTCCCCATAAAGAGACGCACGCTCGGGTTGAATGAGAATGATCACAAGTCCGTTGCTTTCAGCTCTGGGGCTGGGGAGGTTCCCAGGAGTGATTCATACCGTCCCGCTTAGGCCCAGAAGGCTTGGCAGACAGCTTGACACCCCTTCTGCCCCTGTGACAAGCAGCCATGTGGCATGTTACCTTGTAGAGGTAATTGGCGGCTTCTGTCATTTCTGAGAAACTGGTCTCAGAAAGCCCGGCTTCCCCTAAAACTTTCATCTTCTCTTGAATCAGAGGCCTGTGGAGGAGAAGTGAGCTACATGAATATAACCTGCACAGGAACAACAGACTGATTACAGTGAGGTCGCTCTCCTCATTCCATGGGACTGTCACGTGTTGAGCGCTTCACAACCTTGTGTCTCGCGAGGCACAAACATCCATCCTGAAGTATCCGGCCATTCTGAATTGAAACCAACCTCCAGTTTAGGGCTTATAATGGCAGGTTCAAAATTTCAATGGAAGATGTGCAGGAAATAAATGCTGTCTCATTAAAATAAAATTTTGAACCTGGTGATATCATAAGCTTCCCAGAGAACAGAGTAAGTAGAGGTGACCCACGTATATTGCAAAGGTCAGACCCGAGTCATAAGGCTGGACACAAGGACAAGAAGTGGCCACCACTGAGATCATCACGATGCTTCAGACTGGGAAGGGGAGAGAGCATTTCGGGAAGTTTTGCTCAGTTATAGACACAAATCCCCAGGGCGGAAATGTGATCCCACTTGTGCTGATGACGGTCCAGGGCTGCTGACTTTCAGTCAGGAACGCTGTCAGATCTGGCCTATCATAAAGGGCCAAGGAGGGCTGTCCCTACCCTAGCAAGTGCCTTCGTGATGGGAAAAGGGTGTTTTATAAACATTCCATCTGTGTCTCATCACAATGAGCTCATCAGTTCTCTCCTTCTCATCCAAGGAGTCACCTCCCCTTACTCCTAAGATTGCGGCCTGTACCCTGCAGGTCCCAGAGAACACTAGTGATGGAAAAGCGAGAGACATTCACTGGGTCTCCGTGTGGATCCCTGACAGTCTGAGCAGAAGGGGAAGCATGGAAGGAGCAAGGACGCATGCCCTGTGCCCACCCTCGCACAGCTCCATGCCCAGGCCCCCCAGCCCGGCCTACCAAAGGTAGTCATCAGCAGTGCCTCTTGCCACCAGGTAGTGAATGCCCACAGAGCTTGTCTGTCCAATGCGGTGCACTCGGTCCTCAGCCTGGATCAGCACCTGCGTGTCCAAGGTGAGGACAGCTGAGTGAAGACCTAGAGCACCTGGGCCACCACAGCAGGTGGCTTCTCCTCCCCAAGCCCCACCTGAACCCTTCCTCCTCAAAGCATCTCACTGCCTCTCAGGCCTGCACATGTCCTGTCATCTGACCACAGAGAACCATTCAACCCTGCTCGGGGGCCCAGCACCTGCAGCAGGACATCTGTGGGTGGCCCCGGTGCTGAACACTGCAAGGTGCCGTGAGTGGGACAGGCGTGTAGGATCTACCATCAGCTCTGTGCAGAGGGATCCATAATGCAGATTTCACACATTTCTGTTCCTGTCTCTGGGAAATACAGTTACCTTCCAAACAGCTAGAAACATCACATCCGTGAATGGAGTGGTGTGGTGTTTCATAGGGTGGTGAGCGTGTACTACACAACTGATATTGAGAGTACTGTTTTTATTATGGATGGCTCCAGCTTGAAGTGTACCCACTATTAGAGTAGTTGCTGATATCAGAATATTAGAGGATTTTCTGAAGTTTAGGAGAAATTTTATGAGTTCAAACAAGTATCTTTATCTGCTGCCTTTAGGGGGCACAGTGGCATTCAGGGAGCACCCAGCACTGTCACTCTGCATGCAGTCCTCTTGGCTAAAGAAGCTCACAGAGATGGCTGGTAAAGGGGCTTGGGCTGGAAAGCCAAGGCCTGGGCTGCAGCCTGGTGCTCCTGCCTGCACTGCCGGGGGACAGCTACAGTCCTAGCTCACCACCTGGACTCTCAGTTTCCAGCTTCCTCCTAGGACAGATGAAGCCTAAGACTCTTCCACAACTCTGCTCTTCCACTGAGAAAATGGAGTCAATAATGCCACCGGTCTCTGTAAAGACCTAACAATTAGCCAACAGGCATGCAGTGATTAAAGGAAATGAAAACAAATGTGAATATATAAGCAGGGTGATGAGGGTGGATGGAAAGACAGAAGAAATGAACCCAGCCCTAGGGAAACCTCACAGAACCAAGTCCTTCCTAACTGCCCGTGGCCCCTCCATGCCCCCTAAACATGAGTATACCCGGGGGAAGTCCAGTCTACTGAAACCCTTACCCCTGGGTTCCAAAACAGCTCAGCAAACACCACCAAGTCAGCCGAGGAGAAGGTGAGGCCCATGTTGGCAGCAGTGATGGACAGCACTGCCACGGAGTGCCCCTCGGACAGCTGGAACTGCTGGCACAGGTCCTCTCTGTCTGCCGATGGGGTGGAGCCATCAATGCGGATGTGGGGCACGTGCTGCAGGGACAAAGAGGAAACCGAAGAGGGCTGTTGAGTAAGGTGCACCAACCACGGCTCCAAGGACAAAGCCACACTGCTGCTCAGCTCTCTGCTCTCAAGGCTCTCCTCTTCTTAAATCAAAATTACACTCAGACAATTGTATACTCACATACCACTGGATGAAATAATAGAGATCTTATGTGCACGGTGCCAGTCTTACTCCATGGAAACATTCTGGAAAACTACTGTGTATCACAACCTAGAGGCTGACTGTAACAAAATCCACTGATCTTCAAATATCCCATTCTGTGAGTATTTTACCATGCATTTGGGTTTTCTTATACCCTCCTCCACAGTCAAGATACCGAACAGTTCCAACGTCACAAGGATCCTTTTGCAGCCTTTTCAAAATCCTTCCATTTCCCCCAATCTTTAACTTTCAGCAGCCACTACTGTGTCTTACATTTCTACAATGTCTCATTTCACAAAAGCTATATAAATGCAATCATTTAATATGCAACTTCTTGGGATGGTTTTTATTCACACAGCATCATTCTCTAGAGAATCACCTAGCCTGCTGCCTATATCAGCAGTCTATTCTTTATTGCTGTGGAGTAATATTCCTCAGCACACATGTACCACAGTCTCACTTCTCATCTACTAAGGGCCATCTGAGCTGATGCAACTTCGGGCTATCACAAACTGCTCGGGATATCTGTGTTCAGATTCTTGTGTGACTGTAATTTTCACTTCTGTGATTTAAATGCCCAGCAGTCAACTGGTGGGTATGTTAACTCCATGTTTACTTCAGATGTTTTCTTTTAAGGGGTGTTTATTTATTTTTTAAACAGCAAACACCACAAAGAAAAGGAAATATTACTACTACTATCAGGTTATTTTTCTCTGCTCTTTTCTCAACGTGTATGGCATGTCTTTTAAATAAAAAGTCTTAGCTGGGCATGGTGGACACACCTGTAATCCCAGCCCTCTGGAGCCTGAGGTAGGAGGATCACCTTGAGCTCAAGGCAAGTCTGGGCTACCTAGAGAGTTTAAGACAAGACTGGAGTATACAGCAAGGTCCTGTCTCAAGTTTATATCCATTTTTCTCCAATAAACATAATATTACAAATAAGCTCAACCACTAAAAGTTTTCTAAAATTTGACTTTAGTGGCCATATTTTATTTAGTGGCAGTAGCATAATTTAACCATTCTCTTATTTCTGAGATTTAGGAGGTTTCTAATTTTCCTTAAAAAGGAAGACTGGCAGATGTCCATCAACAGGTGGGCAGATAAAGAAAAAGCTTTCTGTTGTAGCTTTACAATGGAATATTACTCAGCACTAAAAAGGAACTACTAATACACACAACAAGGATGAATCCCAAAATCTGTTGAGTAAAAGCAGTCAGACCAAGAAAGAAGAAAAAGTACATGGTAAATAATTCCATATTTATATAAAACTCTAAAAATTGCAAATGAATTGAGCTTGGGGGCTGGGGAGTGAAAGAAGCAGTAGGCAGTGATGACAAAGAGGCCTGAGGAAAGAGGTGACAAAGTGTTCACTGTCCTGAATCTCAACACACTGTGCAGGAGGTGCAGTTCACTGCATGGAAATGATCCCTTCATAAGGCTATTAAAATAAATATTAAAGAACTAAAAATACATAATAAAAATTTAAAGAATGGCTATGTCCACATTTGGTTATTTCCTTAAACTGCTGAAAATCAAATTACTATTGCAAAAAGGAAACCCTTCCTTTAAGGCTCCCGGTATCAGATGGCTCTCTGATTAACACTGGGTAAGCGCATCATCGCAGTACACATTGGTCCACAGCGAGCACCACACATTCTGAAAACTCTGGCTGACTTGATGGGGTTAAAAAAAATCCTGTTTTGAACTCACGTGCTTATTAGAGAAGTACACTTTTCCTATCTTTTAATTAGTCACTGGTATTAACTTGTTTGATGAACTATTCAGCTATTTTGCCTAATTTTTTACTCCCATCAGGAGCTAGTAATATTTTTACATGTAATTGCCATTAATATTTCATATAAGTTGCTATTATTTTCCTCAGCTTATTCCTTTACATTAATTTTTTTGTTTTCCAACGTTCCTTTATTTTGTTTAGAAAATAATTTTTCCAACTATAAAATAACATAAATTCATTGCAAAAATCCAGAAAAACTAAAAAATAATGTAGACAACTTACATAATCAGCATTAATGTTTTAGTATATTTTATCCAAACTTTTCTTCTCTGCATGATGATTTTTAAAAATTATTACATATAACAGTTTTTTAATAGTAGATTACAGATGTCTTCTCATACCAATGAAACCCAACGAGATACCAAGAGCTTCAATTTTAGAGTTTCCTTGGATTCTTAAAGGGACCAATAATCCTCCCAAAGTTAGGAACCACTGGCCTGCTTATCTTTTATGGTTAAATGGACAATAATTTATTACATGGGACATTTGCTCACAAGCATTTAAGTTTTTAATTATTCATATTATAAACAGCATGACTTTTAATTTAATATCTTTATCCATGACTTTTAATTTAATATCTTAATCCATGATTAATATCTTTGTCCATTAATATCTTTGTCCTCTGTACTGGTCTGATCACTTTCTAAGAACAAATTCCTAGCAGTGAAATTTGAAAAAATGACTGTATATATTAATGCCACATTGTACCAAATACACAAAACAACCATGACTTAACTACAGTGTACATGTGTGACAGAGTAAATCCATATTTTTAGGTTATCTGAATCAATTTTTCCTTTATAACACTGTTTTTATGCTTAGAAAGCTATTTCCAATTACTGGGTATATGTTTATCAATAATTTGTTTTATACTTGATTTCAAGAATCTTTAATTCTCCGGGCATGGTGGCACACGCCTGTAATCCCAGGACTCATGAGGCTGAGGCAGGAGGATTAGCAGTTGAGTTCGAGGCCAGCCTGGGCTACATAGTGAGATCAAGGACAGCCTGAACTACATAGCGAGACTCTGTCTCAAACCTTCCCCTCAAAAAAAAGAAATTCTTAATTCATCTGCAATTTAATAAGCAGTGAGGTAAGCTTCATTTAAATTCTCTTCCCGCCTCAACTACCTAGCCAACTCTCCAAACTTTGTAGGCTGAGTAAATTAAACTTAACTTGTGATAGTTCTTTGATTATATATTTGTTTTCATTTCTACAGAAGGACAACTCATTCTATTCTGCCCACTGGGCCACCAACTCTTGAACCTGCATGATTCAGTTTTAATTACTGGTGCTTTATAAAAGATTTTACTGTTATTATTCTGTGTTACTGGGGATTGAACCCAGGGCCTTCACACTGAGGTACAATGCCCTGTATAGATTTATATGTTGAGACAAGGTCTCATCACGTTGGTAAGTTGTCCAGGCTGGGCTCAAACTTATGATCGTCCTGCCTCAGCCTCTCAGAGTTGTGGGTTTACAGGTATGTGCCACTTCACTCAGCTTACAATAGATTTTAGTATCTGTAGAGACAGATTTTCCAATATTGCTCCTCTTTTCAACACTGCCTTAGGTATTTCCCCTGCTTATTTTTGAGATGCCTGTTAGAATAACAGTATTAACATTTCATTTAAACAAATCCAGTTGGAGCTTTTAGTAGAACTGAATTAAACTTACAAATTTATTTGGGCAGGACTGGCATTTTTACACTTTTTTGCCTTTTCACAGAGTAGCACACCTCAAGTTTTTCCAGGTACTCATTAGTTTCCGTAATATTTTGGTTGAGACTATTTTATATCTTGTTGCAAACGTGATCTTCCCCTGTTACACTAATGAGTTATAGCTAGGCTATTTGAAAAGAAGAATTTATTTTAATATATTTATTTGGAACCCAACTACTCTACTATGCTCATGAGTTCTAAGAGTTTTCCAATTATCTCAGGTTTCTTGCAAATAGTGACAGCTCTGGTTTTTCCCCAGCAATTACAGGCTTTAATTATATGGGCCTGCTTCCTGTATTATTTTATATGCAAAAATTAAGCCCAGGTATATTAACCATCTACCCCAACCCAGGCATGGTGGTACATGCCTGTAATCCCAGCAATCGGGAGGCTGAGGCAGGAGGACTGTTTTGAGTTTGAGGCCAGCCTTGGCTACAAAGTGAGCTCAAGGCCAGCCTGAATTGCATAGTGAGACCCTGTCTCAAAAAGACAACAAAACAAAACAACCAAGCAAAAATATCTACAACTTTCAGACAAAAAGTACAAGAGAAAACTCTCATACCCTTATGAAGGAAAAGATTTCTTCAATAAAGCACAGAAAGCACAAGCTAAACAGGAAAAATGTAATAAATTTAAAATATAATTCCTGTAACCCCAGCACTCTGGGAAGCTGAGACAGGAGGATCCCAAGTTTGAGCCTAGTGTGGGTAACTTAGTGATTTAGAAAAACCTTATTTCAAAATAAAAAATAAAAAGGGGGAGGGACTGGGGAAGTAACCTGGGGTTAAGCTCTGAGGTTTAATCCCCAAGTGCCGTTAAAAAAAATTAAAAATTAAAATGTTTATCTTCCGTTCAGCAGAAACTTAAAGTGAAAAAATAAATGACTGATAAGTAATTAATAGGAAGAATTTATAAAGAATTTTTCTAAATCATTAGAAAAAGCCAAACTAACAGAAAAACAGGAAAAAAAAATACAAACAGATCCTCAGGGAAGAGTGCAAAAATGGCTAACAATCAGACAAAAAGGTATTTTACCAGTAGTCACAGAAATGCAAGTTAAAGCAGGAATGAAATGAGGTTTCATTTCACTGGATTCGCAAAAGTAAAATCCGGTAAAACCAAGTGTGGGTGAGCAAGCAGAACAGCCGTGATTCTTACACACTGCTGGTGGGATCACAAATGTGAGTAACCACTTTGGACAGTCAAAGTGAAGATGAGTCTATCCAATGACCACACAATCAATACTGTGCCTGGACATACACAAGGCATGTAGAAACACAGACACAAACACTGGTATATTCAAAACTACTCACATGATAGTAAGAACTTTAAATAAAAGTGCATGTTCACCAGCAGGAGAATGGATAAACTTTGGCACTCACCCAATGAGAGAGCACTGGGCAGTGAGAGTAAGTGAACTACCTGTTATTTACACTGTAGGGAAAATCTCAAAAACAATGTTAAAAAAAATAGCAAATTGCAGGATACCTACTCTGTGCTACCATTTATGCAATTTTAAAATAATATATACAAAAGGAGACTGAGTATTCTTTAAGGATATAGACTCTCACAGTAAAGTATGGCAATACGCAGGGGAAGGGTACACAGTAACCTAAGGGTAGTGATGCCATCTTCGGGGAAGAAGAAATGGAAATGGAATTAGAATACTGAGGGGGCCTGAGAATTTGATTACTGAAGACTAATAAATCTTTTCCTTTTTGTCTTTTTGAGACAGGGTCTCGCTATACAGTTCAGGCTGTCCTTGAGCTCACTTTGTAGCCCAGGCTGGTCTCGAACTTGTAACAGTCCTCTTGCCTCAGGTCTCCTGAGTGCTAGGATTACAGGCATGTGCTACCGCGCCTGAGCAGACTAATAAATCTGAAGGACAGGAGAGGTAATATAGCAGTAGAGCGTTTCCCTAGCATGCTTGAGGCTTTGGATTTGATCCCCACAATGCAAGGATAAATAATAAAAGTAAATCTTTAAATAAATAGAGTGAAACTTTTCATTTATTAAGTGTGAATATATTATTCTGTACCTTTCTGTATGTTTAAAATTACCTAAGTATAAAAAAATGAAGGAAGAAAAAGGGATATCGTGTTCCTAATTTTAACTGAATAAAAAGAGTGAACATACAATGTGTTTAGCTTTAATGAACATCCTTAGAAAACCCTCTAACTCTGCTTTCTGGTGAGAGCCACAAAACTGTGTGGAGTATACACCGCTATGTGCAATTAATAAAGGCACCTGCATAGATATGAAGGGGAACACAAGAAAGGAAAAAAGGAGGCTATTCACACAAATACTTGTCTCCCCAACAGTTTCTGCTGTTCCCTCTCTGGCCACTTTTGTAACCATGTATGCACGATAATAAAAGAGACACAGGGAGATCTCCTACAGTAAGACTCCTGAGATCTCTGTCCAGAGCACAGAGGACATTAAAGTGACACAGCTGGGGGAACATTCGGACCCCACTGTGGTTCTGCAGCAAGAACTCTTCATTAGAAAGGCTTCAGCAAAGTTTCAGGAAACCATCATAGTACATCTTTATCTACACCCAACACAACCCTGCTCAGAGCACCCTGACACATCAGCAGTAAAAGTCAAAACCCTATGGTGAATGTCAAAGGAAGCTTACCTTTCTCTCCAGTTCCTTAGTAATTGCATCCAGAACCATTTTATGGTGTGCGAACACGAGAAACTTCTCTCTTCCACTTTCCAGGAGGTCCAGGATATACTCACTGTATTTGACAATGATAAAAAAATAGACTAAATATATACTCTTCCAGGTGAGGTAAGTTACTGAAAAGTGACTGACATTTACAGGAGACACCTTGAGGGTCTCTCCCACTCCAGCATATGCTGGGGAGTATCGTGTTTGGTCTTCCTTTAATTTAGTTCTCTTCTCCATCTACTGTTTTCTAACTTCTTATCTTCAAGCCTTGGGCCTTAAAGGAAGACTACCATTCCCTGGGAGGGTAGGGTAAAGAGTAGTCATCTAGTTGGGAGGCCCTTAACTGGCTTTTCCCTGGATTAGCACCCTGTAGCGCCGTAGTGGAGAACTTATGGTGCATGTGCCACAGAGGGCTGTTTGTGTCACTGAAAGCTCTAAAACGCTTGCCATCACTGCTGTAGAAGGTTCACAACCCCAAGGAAGAGGTAAGCCTGCAGAGACAACTGCTGCTCACAGCCGTGGGAAAGTGAGCTCCCTCAGATACAGGTACACTTGTCCAGTCTGAGTCATTCCCAAATGCGGCCTTCCTTAAAGAAGTACAAATCACAACAGCTTCCTGTCACAACCAAGTAGGTGTTGGAAAGAGAAATGGACCGTCTCTAAATCTCTAACAAATTTTTTCAAACAACATTCCAACTGACCAAGGTAACAGATTCAAGTTCAACTCATGAACTACTGTACTAAAAGAATCTAATCATTGAGACATAAAGTCTGCCATGATACAAGTAAAAAGTTTACTGCTACAGCCCAAAAGTCACAGGGCTACAAAATTAACTTGGTGAGCTCATAAAAACTTCCATCCCCAATTTTTTTTTTTTAGTACTAGGAATCGAACTCATGACCTCACACTTGCCAGGCAGGCGCTTGTGCCACTGAGCTATATCCCCAGCCCCACCATCCCCGATTTTGTAATGCCCATTTCTCCTTCACATCTGACCATTCTTTACCGTTCTACCCACTAAAAGTCCCTCTGCAACCAGGCTGGAAATACTTGCTTAACGCAATAACCTGGGCTGTTATGCTGAAAGATGCCCATTCAAATAAAAACAAACAGCAACAAAAAAGGGGAGGGCAGCTCACAGAGGAAATTGAGGTTCTTAGGATTCATAATCAAATTTTCCCTTAACTAGATGTGTGACTCGGAGGTCCAGAAATGTTAATGAGATTTACTCAGTGACTGTATTTTACAAATGTTGCCCAAGTGACTTACTTTACTGATTTCACAAAGATGCTGTAAATGTGAAATGATGTAATATAGGTAGAAATTGTTTGGAAACCACAAAGCACTACACCACTTATCATAGAACTTGGAAAAAAGTATGGTGTGGCCAAAGTTTATTTATGAGGCAACAAAATGGGTAGACTTAAAATTCTAAGGGAAATGGGTGGCTGTGGGCACAGTATCCAGAGACAGAGGCACCCATAGACCCTGAGATGCAGAAGGCCAAGCTGGGGGACCGAGGCAGAGCTCACACTTGGCCATCTGTCACATGTGGCATGTGAGAAATGGGTTGGTGGTGGGGATTTATTGAGAGAGAATTTTCCAGGCCATAAAAACCGCATCTGGAGCTCATGAATCCCCCTAACGGTAACATAAAGGAAAAGGCAGGGCCCAGAAGAATGAAAGAGAGCTGGCTGACGGTCAGCAGGCTTCCTGGGCGGCATGGTGGGTTTGAGTGAGGCTGGGACTCCTCACAGGTAAGCATCGGGGGGGGGACTGGGTGGCAGGTTACAGGATCCAGGGGCTGGGGGAGGGTGGGGCAGGCTGTGTATTTCTCAATTTATCCACATATCTCAGTCCCCACAGCCAGTCTGGCACCATTCAACCCACACAAAATTCATCTTCATTGTAATTTAATCACTGGGACCATTATCCTGCCAGAGCCTCCCATGAATGTTAAACAATAAAAAAATCAGGCAAAATGCACGTCGCTAGAATTGCCTCAAGTTTCAACCGCAGTGATATTTGAACATGAGTGGGCTTTTCTTTCTTTAAGAAAGGCAATTTAGATTTTTCTAAGTCAGTGAATAATACTAAGAATAGAAATGTTCACTTCAGCTTCAGTTTATAAGGTAGAAAGAGAACTAAATGTGACAGTGGCCATTCACCCATATTGCCTGAACAAACTTGGAGCTTTGTTTGCTTATTTAGATATATAACAGCTGAAACTTGAGTCTCTGGAAAAGACCAGAGTATCCCTCTAAGGCAGCCTCTCCAACTTCTTTCCCTAAAAGAGAGTGATCACAGTTCTCCTAGCAAGACCAACACTTTCTCCATTCTGGTGTGGGTCAAGCCCACCTCCTGTTAAGCTGCAGCTGCCCCAGCCCTTGGGTGGATATCAGCTCTCTCTGGGTGGCAAGCACAGCTTGGCAGTGGCTCTGTTTACAGGGCAGCTTGGGTCTTGTGGGAGATAAGACCATGGTGCTGGAAACTTATTTTCAATGCGGCTATAGTTCTAATCTTTGATCATTTCTTAGAGAGCAGTAAAGCCGTTCTGGCAAGCTAGCTTGACAACCATTTTGTTTTGTTTCTTAAAGATGGATGAGAGAGAAGAATTGGGCAGACGCTCGGAGACTACTTACATGATACACGGGATTTTCGCTTCCGCTGTTCGGTTGAAGAAGAGAAGGAGGGCCTCTTTCTGCTGCTGTTTCTGTTGAGAGAGAAGTCGCGAGTGTAAAGACCCACGCTGAAGAGCTGGGGCAAGCTGACCCAATGGTCACTACTCTGAGCTGTATCAATCTTCGCACCGGTCAAAGTCGGGGGACCCAGGCACTGACACGACTCACCTGCTCACTTTGGCCATGTCAAGAGGAGCAGCTTGGGCTCTGGTTTTGTCCCCAGAGTCAGCATTCTAGCAAACTCTGTCACTCTCTGAGAACAGTGTGTTATGGTTTATGTCTGGGTGTCCCCTCAAAGCCTCATGTGGCCCTGGGGCAGGCTTTTAAAGTTTGATCGATTAGGGGTGTGAGAGCTGCAGTTTGCATATGTAAGGGAGAGGAAAAGGGTGCTTGAGGCCATTCCTCCTCCATTCCGCCCTGGTGTGTGCTTGTTGCTTTGCTGTGTTCTGCCGCCATGAGCTGTAGCTCTCTGCCATGTGCCACTCTGCCTTGTAATCTGCCAAGTACGGACTGAAACCTCCACCAACTGTGAGCTAAATAAACCATTCCTTCCTTAATTTTGGGTGTCAGGTATTTTGTCCCAGCAACGAGAAAAAAGTAACCAAGACACAGTGCTAAGAATCTAATGAGGTAAGGGACACGCAGGCTAGTTTGTTTTGGTTTTTTTGAGACAAGAGTTTTGCTACACAGTCCAAGCTGGCCTTGACATCACTAGGTTGCTCAGGCTGACCTCAAACTTGTAATCCTCCTGCCTCAGTCTCCTCTAAGTGCTGGGACTACAAGCAAGCTCCACTATGCCCAGCTCTTTGGAAAGGTATTTTGGGTAGGGTTTTAACCACACACACCAAACACACGTGATCCACTGAAATGTGGCTTGACTGAACACACCTCTTTACTGCGGCCAGAGACAAGTTACACTTGATCATTGCCCTGTGTGATTTGTCTCCTGCTCTTCTTTGGTCAAATTGTGTTTGTATCCAACTGACCAAACTCACCTCTTTTAAAACTGTATTGCACTGATTCCATCTGCCTCAACTACTTTACTCTAGTGCCATTTCCAAACCACTACCCAGGGGCTTTTGGCCTATCCCCTATGTAAGGGGATTCACTGCACTAGGAAGTTATGTTTCCTCTAGGGTTTACATCTAAATTAACCCCAGTAGAGAAAGCTAACACAGGAGATCCCAGCCAGAGTCCAAGTACTACGAGACAAATTTCTGATCACTCTGGCCACCACGTTCTCCTCCCACCATCACTGGTAGGAGACTGCTATGGTCGGAGTGTGTCCCTTCGAACTTCATGCATTGAAACTTAATCTCCAGGGCAGTGGTGATGTCAGGAGTGATTATGTGGGGAGGACTCATGAATGGGATTAGTGCCTGTGTAAAAGAGGCCTGGGAGAGACCTCACCCTTCCACCATGTGAAGACAGAGTAAGGAGATGGCTGTCCATGAGGAAGTGGGCTCTCAGTAGACACGGAATCTGCTAGCACCTTGATCTTAGGCTTCCTAGCCTCCAGAACTGTGAGCAATAATTTTCTGTTGTTTATAAATTCCCAAGTCTATAAACTAAGTTTATAAATTCAGATATTTTATTACAGCATCATGGACTAAGACAGGGGGCTGGCTACCTTGTCCCACTATTGAGTGTGGTTTACAGGTTATGGCTTGTACCTAAATGTCCCCTCAAAGACACAGGCAGTCATAGGTGAGGAGTTTTAAAAGTGGCTGGACTGGGGTGTGTGAATGTGGACTAAGGGTGTGACACTGGTACTGAGGGGGTAGATAATGGAAGCTCCACCCTGGGCATGGGTGGCATCAATCAGTAGGCTTTATAGCCTGGATGGAATATATACAGACAGAAGGTGGCTGCCATTGCTGCTTGCTGTTCTGCTGTCTCCTGCCTGCTCCACCATGGACTGTTTCTCCTCTGCTATGTGCCTCTGCCATACCGCCCTGCCTTGGAGCCTGCCAACTATGGTTTGAAACCTCTACAAACTGGGAGCCAAATAAACCTCTCCTCCTTTAACTCTGGGTGTTAGGTATTTTGTCTCAGCAGTGAGAAATGTAACTAAAACACAGACACACAGCATCCTTCTTGTGCCTGAGCCCTGTGAGATCACTGAACAACATGGGACAAGAAAGTGATTTAATAGTAATAACACCATGGCCCTAAACTTGTGGTTCCTGGGTTCTCTACAGCACAGGAAAGCAGCAGAGCAGGCTGGACCTGATGTTCCTGACAACACAGATGGTGAAAAGCAGCATCTTGGCTTTGAACAAAGTCTCTGCCCTAGGAGTTCACAGGAAAGAAGAAAGATCCTGGGGACCTGCAGCAATCTGCAGCAGCACTGCCTGGGGAGTAGTAGTTCCTTCTGAGGCAATAGCCCAATTTAACAGTTGCACCCTCCTGGGCCCTGGCATGAGGGCCTCTCCACAGCTCTGCTCTAACTTCTCTCTAGGCCACAGGCCCAGCTCACTGACTCCCCGAAGCAATCCACAAAGCCATCCTTGGGCCTGTAAGGGAGGAGAGACCCTCTGACCTGTGAGGTCCCTGAGAGGCTATGGCAGAGGGACAGAGCAGGCTCACACCTGAGACTTCCCATGGCGCGTCTGCTCGGTCACACCACTCCAGCCACCCTCTATCCACCATTTCCTGCTGTGTCCTTAGCTGCCCACCCTCCACCGGTACACATTCACTGTGTGCGTCCTGATGAGAACAAGAGAGGGCAAAGTAGACAGATGGAAAAATGGCAGAAGCTTCTAGAACCCGTGCCCCAATAGGAAACATCTAGAGTAGATGAGGGTGCAAAGCCACACACCCTTTCATCACCCAGCTGGGACAGCACACTGGGCTGTCCTTTTAGGATGATGTGGCAAAATGTACCCAAAGCCTTTCTTTAAAACTGTCCCCAGTGTGATCTGGTAACTGACTCCTTAAAATTTAACTATAATAAAATCAGATATACACAAATTTGTACATACACTATTTTTTCGGCATGGTATTACTCAGAATAGTTAGTGACTGAAAATAAAGGTTCCTACAGCAAGGTATGCTAATGCACACCTGCAATCTTAGCATTCAGGAAGCTGAGGCAGAAGGATTGCAAGTTTGAGGCCAGCAAGGGCTACACAGCAAGACCCTGTCTCAAAAAAATGAAAATAAAAACAAAAACTAACACCAATAAAAACTTCCTTAAAGGTACAACTAAAAATGACTGGTAAAATTATAATATTGGCATGGGCATAAAACTATGCAGTTTTTACTATATTTTAAAAAGAACACTTCAGCTGGGTGTGGTAGTGCACACCTGTCATCCTAGTATTTGGGAAGCTGAGGCAGAAGGACTGCCATGAATTCGAGGTCAGCCTAACTACATAAGAGACCCTGTCTCAAAAACAAAAAAAAAATTTTAATTAAAAAAAAAAAAAATAAACAAAAAGAACACTTAATATGGAAAATTCTCCATGGCATAATTTTGTACTCCATTTTCTTCCCCATTTAATATATTATTGTATGACCTCAATTGTGCTTTAAAAATATATAGGTTATTATATACATGTTTTATATATAAACATTTATTTTGATATAGCCATATACATTTTATATAAAATATTTATTTATATACATGTATGTATAAATACATACACACACATTTTTTCATACAGGGATTGAACCCAGGGCCTTTGCACTGAGCTACATCTAAGCCTTTTTATTTTTTAAGACTAGCTCTCAGTCATTAAACTGGTCAGGCTGGGCTCAAATTTGCAATCTTCTTGCTTCAACCACCCAGAGTGCAGGGATTACAAGAGTGCACCACCATGCCTAATTTGTATAAATATATTTTAGAGCAAAATATATATATGTAAGTACTATAGGAAAATACCAAATGTAATGTGCCAAAATTATGTGGTATAAAAGATTTTTTAATAATATGATAATTAAAATAACAGTTAACCTTTGTACACCATTTACCATGGGCTAGGCAGGGTTCTAAGAAACATACATCCATTTAACTCATTTAATAACCAACACTGCTATAACGAAGATACTACTATTCTATCTGTATCCACGAGGAAACTGAGACAAAAAAGTCAAGTGACTTTGTCACCAGGCTACTTAACACAAGAGCCAGAATTTGTAGTACTTTTTTTTTCCCCCCAGTACCGGGACTCGAACTCACAACCTCGCACTTGCCAGGCAGGCACTGTGCCACTGAGCTAAATCCCCAGCCCCTAATTTATAGTACTTTTAAGTATGGACTTTCAAGCCCAACTACCTGGATTTGGCACCTAACAGTGAGAATTAAAATATGAATACATATAAAGCAATGTGCACAGCAAGTCTTCAAGAAACGTTACTTATTATAAGTACTTTCCTTTCTTTTCTTTTCTGAGCCAAGGTCTCTCTCTGTAGTTCAGGCTGGCCTTGAACTCACTATGTGGCCCAGGTTGGCCTCGAACTCACAGTGATCCTTCTGCCTCAGTCTCCCAAGGGCTGAGATTATAGGCATGCACCACTACATGTGGCTTATTTTTTACATTTTATAATCATTTCTTGCAGTATAGGTATCTACTGTATTATTATTATTATTAATTATTATTTTGCAGTACTGGGTATCAAATGCAGGGCCTTTGGCATGCTAAGCAAGCACTTGGCCACAGAGCTACATCCCAACCCTGACTGTATTTTAGTGTGTGAGAAATCAATAATTTTATCTTAAAAAATTGGGTGGATATAATATTATCCATAAATGATGTCACTTCTTTTGTCAGCTATGGCCAAGAAATTTTAAATAACCTGTATTCTTTGTTCCTGCCTCTTAGACTTTATTAAATTAGATCCACTGGAGTCTTCAAATTTTACTTTTCTAGGTTGGAAATTTGAATGGATTATCAAATGACAAAGGGGAATTGATACTGACACCAGGAAGTCTGCACGGATTTGCTCCATTTTTCTGCTTCTGGTCTTGCTGATCAAAAAATGGCTTTGGACAAAAGATGATTATAGTCTGCCTTCCTTAGCCAGAGAATAGATACCTATTATTTCAGCTGCAAATGAGAGAAAGCTTTCATTATAACTTTGTATTTCATAAACTGGCTGCTTCACCTTGGCTACTGTGATTTAAAGCTTTTTCCCAAACTGTTTTACTCCTGGTGAAAAGGTGTGAAGGGACAAAGAAAGAATCAGCTCCAGATAGGCAGGTCAGTGGCTTGGTGAGGTCGCCATGATGTGCAGAACTGCAGGAAAATGGGAGGCTAAAAAGAAACTGTAAAAATGGGGTGGGGGGGGTAAGGTGCTTTCTGTGGAGACACAGGGACTAAAGTCATAAAAATATGGTTCTGCATTTTTAACCCTTTCAGTTTGGTATCTCATAGCTGCTCAGGGGTTAGAAGGGTCAGTTAGGGTCCTCTAGTCCAAGTCTCACGGAGGTGGCTCCCATTTTGAAGAAAGTTAGAGTCAAATTCACAGCTTAGAAATGCACCACCTCAGGGGCTTCCCAGTAGGAAAGTTCTGATGGCCCAAAGCATGAAGTTCTGATGGCCCCAATTTGGATTCTGTACTACCAAAATGAATTTCCATTACAGCACACAAAAGGGCATCAAGTCTTCAAGGATTTATTATCTATAAGAACTTAGTATCTGGCCCAACTCAAATTCTACCTTTCAGGCATAAACGCTTAATTTGCGTAAGACTCCAGGAAAGCAGGTAGCAGCTCTCCAGTGCTGGGCTGAGATGAGCTCTGGGTTCTCTCCCAGCTGGATTCTTGAAGAATTATACTGCATCTTTGGCTTTATTTTCATAAGCTGCAAAACAGAGTGGTGACTCCAGGGTGTTTATATGACAGAGATGCTAATCATACAACATATAGGATACTAGGCAAGTGGCACTATATGCACTTTTCCAGCTCTCAGGCAGGTTGTGGCTGCCTTTCTGACGTACAAGAAATATCAAAATATTCCCCCAAATGCAAGAGAGCTGTAGAGCTACTTAAAGTTACAAAACAGCCAACATCCCTAATTTTCATGGTTTATCTGAAATCAACCCTTCTGGCTGCACTGAAATCATTTTTGGAAAAAAAATCACTCACCTAACTTGAAAAAGTTTACAAGATAGCATAAGATTTTAAAATGCTTCCAGGCCTTGCTGCACTAAGTATACAATGTCCAGTGCTTCCATTTCTGCCATTCTCTTTCCTCTTGGCTATGCTATATGATTGTCACCTCCTAACCAGTTACTGTGACTTTCCTTCTCAACTCAAAGGCCCACTGACTGCTTTTCAGCCCTCTACACTGGCTGCTCTAAAACTGGCTCAAGAAGTAGGCGAGATGTAGGAGAAGAAACGACTTACTTCCATCTCTCAGAAGAAATAAGTCTTTTATAGCTGCTCAGATTTCTCCATCTAAAAATATGGCCCATCTAAATTTCCTCCATCAATATCCCATCTGCTGTCCCTGTTCATTGGTTTCCTTGGCTGATGGTGCTCACTCATAGTCAAAAGTCAAGGCCATTAAAGGTGAAAGAAAAATTATAAGGAAAAACTGAAAATTGAGAAAAGTTTCCACTCACTATTTTTTTTCTTTTTCCTGTTTTCCTTTTTGTTTCTTTTCAGAACCCACCATTTCAACATGCCAGGCAAGCATTCTACTACTGCGTGTACTACCAGCCCCCAGGCACTGAGTTTATCTCTAGGAATCAGAAAAGGACAACCAAGATGGGTTTTAGTGACAGAGCACTCTGGTTCTGCTGAAATACAATTCTCAAACTCTGTTCCATATCCTGTATCAGTGTTGCTGAACTTTGAGAACTCCATGAAAGACATTATGCCTGCTTATTACCTTGTAACCATCTAGATTTTATATATATATATGTGCATAAATTAAACATAGCATGCAAATTTACCAATACATCCTCTATCCTACCCCATTTCTTCAAAGCTTCTAGCTAGTCTTATTCATGGCACGGTAAAAGAACACTGAAAACATCACAGTTTGTCACTTGTCATTCTTAATTACTTTGTCATCTCCCAGAAGGGTGACATCTCATGCCCATCTGTTCCTTTATATGGGTCAATACCAAAACTCTATAATGCTTTGTGATATTATCATTGATTGTTATTTTCTTGCCAATGAAAATTACAAGGTTTTACTTGAAGAGGATATAAATGGAATTGGTACATATTACAGCACTTGGTATGGTATGACACTAAAGACAAGCACAAAATAAAAGTGTTCTGAAAAGATGAGACCACCATAGGAAAGAGCCCTAAATAATAGCGGCAAGAGACTTGCTCCTCGCCTCTGCTATGCCAGAGAGTAGCCATGAGATCCTGGGTAAACTTCGATGTCTGTGAGCCTCAGTTTCCCTGTTATACAATGAGTACCAATCTCCCCTGCCCATCATAAATAGTTGTAATAAGGATTCAAAAGATTAAGAGGGTTTGAAAACTCATTGTTATATAAAAGTTCACTCGTAATTTTGACTAGTACAAATGACGTGGTGTGGTTAGAAGGTTAGCATCCATCTTGAATAATATAGGACTAATTGTCTAACAACTATTGCCATCCTGAGGCATTCTTGAAATACATATTTCCACTTTCTCAGACGGATTCAGAATATATATCATCATCCTACTCTTTCCCCGTGGTTATTTTTCTGACGGTCCATGAACAACAACTTAAACAAGTATAAAACCACACATTAATGAGAGATTTTCAAAACATCTGATTGGGTGAGAAATAAGCTGAGCTGGCTGGGGAGAAGGTGACAGAAAGGCAAGTTCACAGGTCACTGCACAGAGTGTCTTGCAGGAAGGAACAACCACGAACACCTCTGAGCCCAAACCTGTCCCAGCCCGACACTCACAGTTCTGTCCTTGGTCATTTCCTTGGCTGCGGCATCCAGGCTGGCTCTGGCCTTGGCACTGATCTGTCCTGGGGCAACCACCACCATCTTGCGCTGTTTGGCTGGCAGCTGGGAAAGGACGTCAGATTTGAGGCGTCGTAGCATGATAACTTCCTCCAGCAGCAGCTTCAGCTCTCCCAGGTTGGAGGAGCCCGAGTAGTCCCAGCCCCACTGCAGCTGAGGAGGAGCGAGACAGGCCATGAGCTGTAGGCAACATTTTCTGCTCATCACCACCCCGGCTTCACATTCAGAGAAGTGCAAGAAGTGCATTTCTCCTTTCTTCAAAAGGAGAAATGTCCAGGGAGGACAGGTGAGAAAAGGGATGAGAAAAGCCAGGCAAAAATGAAGAAAACCACATGTCATGACATTTTACAACCTTTATAGTGATAGCTGAAAAAAGTAAAGAGATTTGGTGCTTATTTTATTAAAAAAAAAAAAATCTTGGTTTGCCAAACTATTCCTGCATACTAAATACAGAAATTAGTCTCCAAGATTTACACTGCAGAGTCCACTGCATGGTGTAATGAACAATGTCAGTGATGTCTTCTTGATGAGATTTAGAAGGATTTGAAAACCATCGTTTCTCAGTATGGTTTAAAGCAATACAACCAAGTATGATGCAGGAAAAGCAACAGCAATGTGTTGCTACTGGTGGTTGGGGCTAGCAGGAGGATGGTGATGGTGCTCACTAATAGTCAAAAGTCAGAGCCATTAAAGGTGAAACACAATGTTGTGTTGCTACTGGTGGTTGGGGCCTGCTGGCAGGAACCTAGCACAGCAGTTTCTGCCACTCTGGCTGAAAGAAGAGGTTTCTCAGGGTTCAGGGCTTAGGCAGTTAGGTCCTCATGAACACGGCTTCCTCACCCACTGGCTCCAAGGAGGCAGTAGACTTAAAGGTCTCTTCCCTGTCACACATTTGAAGATGCTAGCACTAGAATTAAAATCTTGGCTGCGGGTGTAGCTCAGTGGTGGAGCACCTACCTGCGCATAAGGCCCTGGGTCTGACACCCAGCACTGCCAAAATAAATAAATAAAGCAAGACTATCCTTCATCAATAATCTTACTGGAAATAGGGCTGATCTGCACGGTCCTGTGGAGCACAAGCCAGTGAGTGTGTCTGCTGCCTTGCTTTGCATGATCCTTCCCTTCCTGCTTCCTTCTCCCCTGGACTGTCAGCTGCCTGAGGGGAGGAGCTGGGTTTGCACAACTATGGGGTCATTGCTGAATTGAGAATAAAAAGAGGTGGTCAAAAGTGAGGAAATAAAATGACCCCAAGGTATCTCTTCTTTAAAAAATAAACAACTCTAGCTAGTTGCAGTAGCTCACACCTATAATCCCAGCATTGAAGCAGGAGGATCACTGCAAGTTCAAGGACAGCCAGGCCTACAAAGTGAGTTCAAGGCCAGCTTGAACTGCATAGTGAAAACCTGTCTCAAAAAGAAGGAAAAAAAAAAATGCTATGAACAAGTGCATATCATAATGAATTTGGGTATCATGCATCTAAATTTAACGTTGCTATCTCTTAACCTTGTACGTGAAATTCTTAATCACAGTAGAGATTTTAAATTGGACTTCGGAATAATCACAATAGACAAGCTTTTATTAAAAACATACCCAGTCCCAGGCCCCGGGCTAAGTAGCAGGAAGGGACTGAGGAGAACAAAAGAACCATCTTTGCTTTCAGGTGGGGGTGGAGATGAGGATGCAAAGAGAACACAGGCAAGGGGAGGTCAGGATGCCTCAGTTTCTGGTGTCAGAGACCAGGAAGGGGCAGCCTGATGCTGGGAATACAAGAAGGGGCAGCCTAGGGAGTAACAGCAATGAATTCCACCTTCAGCCTCTTCCATCACTAGCCAAAGACCCAGCACCTGGGTGAGGCACGGGTAGCTAGGTAGGGAGGAGAGAAATACCCGTTTGGCATCGCAGTAGCGAAGTCCGAAGGCATGAAACTGAGGGAAGAAGGTTGGCTTGACTGCAATGATCTGCGTGTAGAGCTCTGCAGGCCGGGACATGGCTGGCGTGCCTGACAGCAAGATCACCCTCTTGGCCACCTAGAAGACAAACAAACCCACTCTGAACCAGGCAGGAAACTGTCTCAGGGAGGCAAGAGCTGAATGGGCCCAGGACCAGAGAAATACCCCAGAATTCAGCAGGACCACCTTTTGCTTCCCAGGCACTTTCACTGCTGGCGGTTCTCAAGTTGAAATATCTCAGAAACAAGGGTAGATCTAAGTTCCAACAATGCTGGAGCCAGTCTCACTCCAGAACTCTGTGACATCCCAGGATCTCTAAGCAAGGTTACTATGACCTGAGAAAAGGACCGTGTGTGTTCCAAGAACCTAACAGTGTTGCCAACGTGAGCGGTTCAAGGTCATCTGCTTTTCTTTAATCCTTCCTTGCTGCCATCATTGCACACAACTCTAACTACCCTGAACTCTCCTTTCCCTTTCCCACACTCAATCACCAGCTTCTTGAGATCAAGACTGGGCTGTGTTCCCTTTTTTTACCATAGCACTTTGTAGGTGGCACAAAGGAATCAACAAATAGTCACCATATGCTGAGAAAAATTCAGAAGGAAGCCAGTTCCCATCACAGGGAAAATGGAGTAAACTCAAAGAACTGTTCCACCACTGAAACAGGAAGTAGGGGAGACTGCAACAGTCTAAACCTCCTGCAGAATGGATTTCCAACATCCAAGTTGGATTTAGTAGAAGAACACTGTAAAAACCAGGAAGAAGTGCCAGGGGTTGCCCATGTACAAGCCTCCATTTAATTTTCTCTAAGGGAAAAAAGGATCTTCACTAACTTCATCATGGTTCTAGGTTAAGGATCCCTGAGTCAAACACATTTTACAGTTAATTAGGACTTCAAATAGTGGAATCTTGACCCATTACCCTAAATTCAGCCCAGCCCTGCAGCAGCTTGAAATAGGGTCAGGACAGATACAAATAGGTGGTCAATTCCAGTAACAAACTCCAAATTGTTCACTACCCTGACACCAACCTGACCCCAGGAGATCAGATCCAAATACCTTACCTCTAAGTAAGACAGGAAAAGGAAGAGGCTAAAAGAGGAGACACTTCTTAACGTATTGGACATAAAATCACCACAAATTACTGGCGCGAAACTCACTTCAGCTCTGGGAAGAGAACCCCACCGTGGAACTCAGTTATGTACAAACACCTTGTTAACCAGTGTATCCTTGAGTTAATGACAATAATGTAAGGCAATCACATGAACTAAATCTCCTAGGGGAGGAAATTAGGTTTTCAAATGGATACACTGCCTCATAAAAATAAATAAATAAAGATGTAACAGTGGGAAGAAAGATGACTCCTTGTAAATACCCAATATACACAATGCTAAAAAATGTACTTTCGCCATTCAGCCACTGCCAATACCTAATTCCATTATGACAGGAGAGCTATGAATTTTTCCAGCTGTAATTTTCTACAGTTCAATTACCCAGGCCTCCTAATTTCCTGCACGGTTTAATGCAGACTCATTAAAATAACAATGTGCTTCTTGAATGGTGTCTGTGGCATCTTCTCCTTGGCTTAAGACCATTTCAGCAAAAAGGCAAAATGAAAAGTTCCACCAGTAAGAGAAAATCTGCCCATCCTCCCCAACCCACTCCTTGTGTTTCTGTTTGCCTGGGGATGGAGTCCAGGCAAAAGCAGTTCATGAACCAGGTGGTCAGAGTTAACTCCTGGGTCCTCTGTCGGACATTTACAGGATGCAGTTATACTTGAGTCAGTTCGCCCATACGCTTCCCTGACTACAGTGAGGGGACTGGTGCAAACGGACACTTGTGGGTATGAACAGCAGGGACAGCATTATGGAAAAAGAAAAAGGTCAGCTCTGAGAAGAAACTGAAGGGCATCTCCTCTCTATGGAAGGAGTTAGCTCTTCCCTGCTCAGTCCCCACATATTCACATTGTCACCACTGTCATTTCATGAGGCCTGTAACCTTTGCTGGACCACAAACAATTTACATAAGTATCTGTCTCCACCTCTGAGAAGTTCCAATCCAGGAAAATATAAATGCAAAAAGTTACATAAATCAACATTAACCTGAACACTTTACAGTTAACTCCCCTGGCTAAGGAAAGGAAATTCAGAATAGGTAAGTAGTAGGCAAGCTGGTACATAGATTTTGCTGCTGCCGGGGCGGGGGCGGCGGCGGGGGGATGTAGCTCAATGGTATATACAGAATTTTCCAGGGAGACTCTGCTGCATTGATTTGAAGTAGATAACACACACACAGGTTGTAAAATACAGTATGAGTGCACAGAATGTGCTATGGTAGAGAAAAAAACTGAGGCGAAGTTCATGTAAGAAGCAGACGTTTTTCTCTAGCCAGGTGTAGTGGTGCACATCTGTATGCAATCACAGCACTTTGGGAGGTTGAGGTAGGAGGATCGCCAAGTTCAACCTGGTCTGGATAACTTAGCAAGACCTTGTCTCAAAATACAAATTTTAAAAAGGCCTAGGCATGTGAGAGCCCTGGGTACAGTCCTCAGTACTGCCAAAAAATGTTATCACTTTCCATTGTTCTCCTCCCACCACCTGAGCCAGTAACTTGCTTTACTGAATTATTCTGACTGGCTACAACATGTATTATAAAGACGCAGAGCCAGGAATAAACTGATTCTCCTCACAGCTCAGTCTCACTTTTATACCTAGTATTATTCTAATGATGATACTCTAAAGTCTATTCAATATACTCAGTTAGAGGTAGGACAGGTAGAAAGCAGATAACATCACAGAGGAAGACCACATCCACACATACTCATTAACCCTGAAGAGACAAGGAGACTGAAGCTATTAGACTCTAACTAGTTCAGAAGTCATAAAAGCATCTTCAAAAATAAGGAGAGTAGCCAGCTTAGCTTGGGAACAAGTAATCAAACGCACCCACAGCAAGAACAAATGCAGGAACCACAAGAGAAAACACAAGAGTCAACACTTTTAGGTGAACCAAAGGCCTGCACACAGGGGAAAAGCTCACTGTGCAGGAAAAATCCAGTGATGGGAATGAGCGAAGAGGACAGAGGCTCTGTCGTTCACAGCGCCCCATGCCAGGAGGGGTGGTGGGCACCAATAGTCCCAGCTACTTGGGAGGTTGAGGCAAGAGGATCATTTGTGCTCAGGAATTCAAGACTACTCCGAATAATGCAGTAAGACCCAGAGTCAAAACTGAAAACAAAAACGACAATGCCCCAGGTGGGTCTCCTTAGGTCAAACAAGATCAAACCAGACAAATACCTTAATTCTGGAGACTGTTGACCAAAGGCTGCCCCTAGTACCAACTGATGGCCACCTACCACTCTGACACCTGGGGAATGGCCTTTCTGACTCTGGTTAGGTCAGCATATGTCATATAAATGGTACCTTTACATCCTTGCTTGTGTTAGAAGTCTGAAGGGCACTGCTACTACTAAACTGACCTGCATGAAACAGTGCTTTCAAGCTAAGCAAGTATCACTGTTCTGTTATCAATAAAATTGCAGTGTCACATAGAACGCAGCCCTTGGGGAAGGACAGAGAGAATGAAGACTGTGACTATAGATATACTGATTTGAAACATCAAATTTCCATAAAGAGACTAAGCAGACTGTGTAAAATAATCACATATTAAAACTGAGGTCATTAGGAGCTTTAAGGTACACAAACCACTAGTGTATGGGTATTATAAAGACAGCATATAGACTAAAATTAAAAACTAAGGTAGATTTCTTCGTTAAGTAGCAGACTTCAATAATTTCCTTTTACAGTCTGGCTCTATGATGAACTTGAGAAAATAAAACCAGAAAGGCTGGACACAGGGACTTCTCCTGTAGTCTCACCACAGTAGGGTGGAAATTAGAACCACTGGCTGACACCCTTCTCCCCTCTGGCCTGTGAAAGGCAAAGAGCCAGCTCTCACGAATGCACAGGGACTGGGTCTTCTGCTCCTCACTTCTACACCACAGGAAAAGATGGTCACTGCAATGTTGTACGGAAGAGCTACAATTTGGCTACAAATCCATCAAAGGGAACAGAGGATATACATTTTGATGGCTTTCTTCAACAGAATTCTACTTGTAAAATGAGGTAGAGTTATTTGGAATGACATGTAATGATTTTCAAGGTAGATTATTAAGGGAAAAAAGGTAGGTATGAAATAGTGACTGTGGAACCCTCTGAAAGAAAGAAAGAAACACACATTTATACTTACATAGGAGTAAGCTATTTTATAGGAGCAAACCAAAAAAATCTGGTAACGATGGCTGTCTTTGAGGAGAGAGACAAAGGACTAGGGAACCTAAGGTATGAGGAAGATGTATTTTTCACTGCCTACTTTTTTGTACCCTTTGAACTTAGCATGTATTGAACTTAGCATGTATTTGAACCACTTTAATAAAAAAGGTGAAAGAGCTGGGCATGGCAGCACATACCAACTCAGCATTCTGGGAGGGCGAAGCAGAAGGATCAGAAATTTGAGACCAACCTGGGCAAATCAGTGATTGAGCAAGACTCTGTCTCAAAAAAAAAAAAGGCCAGGGATGAAGCTCAGTGTGAAGGCCCTGTGCTCAAACCCCAGTACCGCCAAACAGAAAAAAGAAAAAGTGGGAGCTTTTTAGTCAATGTCTCATCTCACCCATCTTTACAGATATGAAAACACTCTACTCACAGAGAAAGAGAAACAGTACTTATCAGGAAAGGGTGGTGGGATTCTGGAAGCCTTTTGCCTTTCAAAAAGTTTAATTTTGCTATTATACTGATTCAACAACAACAAAAACCAATGTAAACAAACCAACTAAACTGAACAAAAACCCAACCACACTCTGATATTCAAAAGAGTGACGCGACTCCTCAGAATTGGTATCACACGGAGCAAAGGCACCTAACTGTGCACATGGTTATGCCCAGCTGGACTGATAAACTGACTCTGCAATTCGGCATGCAACAATTTGTTCTAATAGGATAAGCATGCAAGGTACATACAGATGGCTGATATTCACTTGCAGAACTGTTTATAACCACAAAAAGGAAAAATGACCCAGTGCCTGACACTGAGGCTAAATAATGGGGTGTATTTATACAACAGAATGCTCCACAGTCATTAAAAACGACGATGTTGGCCAGCCATAATGGCACACACCTGTAATCCCAGCACTCAAGAGACTGGGTCAGGAGGATTGAGAGTTTGAGGCCGGCCTACACACACAGTAAGACCCTCTTTCGAAAATACAAAGCAACAAAAAGCCCAGGTAAATAATACTGCAAGGGAAGAAAGATGTCACATTTCACCTTTCCCAGGGGATAACGACATCAATTTAACAACCTACTCTCTCTCCACTGACTGCTGTCGCAAATTACAAACCCACATTTGCTAGACATTATTTGGCCCTGCTCTCTTGGACTGTATGATTAAACCTCATTATCTCATGAAGCACATTTGCTAAAAATATCTTGTGATATTAATAATCAAAATACAGTTCTAAGAAATGTGTACATTAGGGAATAATCAAGTGGTATTAAATCAGTCCTTATGTGGCTTTTCAAATACATATTTTACTTCCTCTCAACTATCTTCCTAATACAAAAGCCTTCAGATTTATTTACTTATTGTCTTAGTTACTTTTCTCTCATTGCTGAGACAAAATACCCGATGCCCAAAATTAAGGAAGGAAGGTTTATTTAGCTCACAGTTTGTGGAGGTTTCAGGCCATCAACAGCCAGCTCCAAGGCACGATGACATGGCAGACAGGCCTCACAGAGGCAGAACAGTTCATGCAGGCAAAAGGTAAGAAAGCAGTAAGGGTACCTTAACATCATCTTTCTGCCTTTTTATCTGACCTAGACTACCGGTACTAGGGTGGTGCCAAACCAATCAGTGGACTGATTTAGTAATCACCCATCCTGAATCCTAGCACCCGTAACCCTAGCATTGCACCATGAATCAATCACACACTCTAGATCCAGCCACCTCTGAAAAAGCCCCACCTATAACTGCATGAGACTTTGGGGGACATCTAGACACAGCTGTAACAGATCCATGGTTCTCCACGTGGACAGGAAGTGATCTGTGCTCACAGGAGACGTCTGGCAACATCTGGGGACAATTCTGATGGTGAACACTGACAGCATTCCTGGCATCTCATAGGTAGAGGTCAAAGATGCTGCTAAATACTCTCATGCACAGGACAGCCCAGTCACAAAGAATCAACCAGTCCAAAATGTCAGCAGTGCCAAGGCCGAGCAAATCCAATCTAGATAAACACTGTAGTGGACTGACAACTGGTGGTCAACTTATAAGCCCCAGCTGAACTGAGTAAACGTGGTGCTGGGTGTGGGAGGCCCACCTGAGGATTGTTGCCAGCAGCACAAGAGGCAGATGTGGAGAAGGAGGTTTTGGGGAACTAAAGAGGCTGTTGGGAGCTGAGAGAGGTTGTCAGGAGCTGGTAGACGCTGTACGGAGTTGTTGGTTCTGTTGGAGGAGCTTGTCATGTTGGATTTCCTGATGAACTTGGCTGTTTTCATCCTCCAAGGAGTTCGGGACCTCGTTGGCCCTGAGAATGGCTTTGGTTCATTTTGGGGGAGCTCTGTTCCTCACTCTGAGCATTACTTCCTGGCTCCGGAGGGGAAGAAGGTACACAGCTCAGTCTCCTGGAGAAGCTTGCTGCATTGGCTTCCCTGATGGGAACTTGGCCATCTTGATCATCGGAGGAGCTTCGGACCTCACTGTTGTTGAGGATGGCTGTGGTACCTCTCGGGGAAGGTCTGGTTCTTCTGAGAGTCGTTTCCTGGCTCCAGTGCAGATCCCTCAGCCTGCTAGCACAGATCCTTTATCCCTCTGGCACAGACTTCCCAGATTCCACCACTGACCTTTGTGCTTTCGCAGCACAGATCCGTGAAACAGGCCTGCATGAGATATTGTTATGGGCTCTGGGCTTCCAGCTGGATTCGTGGGAAGCATTGTTATGAGCTCTAGGTCTTAAACTGGACTCCTGCAGGACATTATCGTGAGATCTAAGCCCTCAGCTGGATTCTTGGTCTATAGTGTGTGGACAGATTTCCTGCACTCTTTTGTATATCGTTCTTTGGGTGACTATTATAAATAATCTTAGAGAATATGTGTCCTTTATTATATTGTTCTCTCTTGCAAAATAAGCCCCAAACCAATACAAATATACAGCAAAGAGAGGTGACAGAATAGCACCAAACGTCCCACCCCACTCCTGCCACTGCTCCACATTATAGGAAATTACAAAACATTACAGAAGAGCAGGACTTCAACAGGCTGTATTCATGCATCCTATGTTAAAATACAAATGCACCCAAGTGCGACAGCAAATGTAAAGTAAAGATATAGGAGCTTAAAGATTCATTTTCAACATGTCACTTTAAAATATACTCAAGGTATTAAAGATGTCTACCCTGCTTCCAAAGGCCGGACTCAAAAGCACCTGCTTCAGTACCCACTGTGCAGTTCCACGTGCCCCAGCTGGCCATGGTTACCTTGACAAGACCTTGCTAAGAAGTGTTCATTTACAGCTTTAATGATACAATCTATCTATTGTGCAATTTCTTTTGTCTAAATAATCACTGGTTCAGATTTAATTTCAGTTATGGCCATAATATTGGAACCACAGTATTAAGGCCTATTAACATTTTTTCAAAGAAAAACATATTAAAGCCTCTCAAAGACGAGTCACTCCCCTTAGACAGACAGTTCATTGTGTGTGTCCATCAAGGCTCTCATCATATAAATATTTATAGGTAATATCAGAGAGCCAAGCCTTTTTAAGTAAAAGACTTACTTTCATACTGGAGCATACAACATATCCTTGCCTTGGAAGATTTATCACATTACTGCTTATTCCTAAAAATATTAAAACTTGAAATAAGTACATAGTTACTTTTATGTGTGTTTTGTGAAGGGTCAGAAGAATAAGGTTTTCAAATGCTAAGCTTCATCATCATTTAGCAAATGTGTTCTCTTTAATTTAGTCTAAAGTGAAAGCTGCTTTTTTTTTTTTATTTTGAGATGGCCTTGCTTATTTAGGCCAGGGTGGCCTAGAATTTGTGACCCTCCTGTCTCAGTCTCCCAAGCATTGGGATAAAAACTTCTAGGCAATAAAAGCTGCAGTTTCAAAATGCTGGTGTGACCCAAGGGCTGCCCTACTAGAGTGCAGGATGAACTTAAACTTGTGTTTACTTGCTCTACACCAACCAAAGTGGGTTCCTCCAAAGTCAGATCTCTGAGAGAGTGCTAACTTGCCCTGAGAGAAAACATTACTTTTTATACTTGTTCCCTAATTTTAGGAAGAAATCCACTCCCAAAAAGATGGAAGGCAAGTTGGGGGCCTATCCCTTGTAAGAATGGGGGAACACACCACAGAATAGACACAGGCCAAAGCGCCAATGGAACAGGGAGCTGCATACTGCCTGTCGAACACGCACAGGTGAAGACTTGAACCTGTGGCACACACCCACCCTGGCCTGCTCTGAACCAGAACTTATTATACTCACCAAAGTGCTCCAAGTGCTCAGAGGCCAGTGGAGAATCCCCATAGAAAGGAATGTGGACTGCAGGAATGCCTGTTAAGTAGAGGCCTTGGGGCTGGTTCTAAGGCCTGGCTCAGCTCTGCTGGGGTTACTTCTTGTACCCACTGGCCTTGGCCTGCTTCTAAGTTGGTTCTACCTCATTGCTGTTGGCTCTCAGCACCTTGACATCTCTGCTATGAGTGACTCAGCTCCTCATGAGCTGTCTGGTGGACAACCTGCTGTAGGTCCTTCCCTATCCAGGCAGGAAGCCAAAGGAGGATTCCGAAGTACAACCCTACCTGGGCCTGTGAGACTTAACATGTCTCCATCTGTACTACTGGGCCCTCAGCTGGACGTCCGGAAGGAAAATGGAGCTGGAACCTAAGCCCTAGGAGACGCCCTGAATCGATGCTGAGTCCTGCCCACAGCACACAGGCTGGGCCTTGGGCCTGCTCTCCTAAGTCCCCGCACACCCACAAATACAACGATCTCCAGGAACAGGGGCGCTGGCCCCAAGTCTCCTCTCAGTAGCACTCACCTTTAGGATGGGCATAGCTGCTCGGCAGCGGGCGGTCTTGCTGTTTTTGAGGAAGTGAGATTCATCCTGAAAGAAACGGCCACATAGTGAGCAAGGCCCAATCCTGAGAGGACAGAGGGGCCACAGGAAGCTTGGCCCTGGCCTGGCATTTGCCCTGTGGGCTCTCATGCAAACAGACAGAGCAGTGGGCCTAGGGAAGAAGCCAGGTCTCCAGGGCAAGTTGGGCAAGTTGTTTCATTGCTCCAGGGACAGTTTTCTGCACAGACAGTTGGTTCATGAGTTC